GCATCTAATAGGGTCGATCATCGGTATGTGGCTGCTGTCCTTGAGGTGGTACATTGAGGCGCTTGAACGGTACGAAAAGGTCACAGGTCCAAGAGTATACGTAACAATTCTTCCGGCTTGCGGTTAGGCGCCTGGAAGGGTGTCTCTCTTTCGGAACGTTTTAGTTGGACGGACGGTGCAGTCCGCATTCTTAGAGTGTGTTTTGGACCCAACCTCCTGTAGAATACAAATTGGTCAGAAGTACAGGCAATGGGCGGAGATTCGGTCCGGATTGGCTCCGAAGTAGTTTGTCCTTGAAGAGTAGAGTTAAAGCGTGTGCAACTTACGTCTTTCCTCCCATCACTCGCCAGGATCATTGGAAGGCGATCGAGCGCTTGTTGTCCACCCTTTTGTGCGGTGGGCGCAAGCAGAAGGTCCGTAAAGAATCTTGTGCCCAACGTCTGTGTCATGGGGGCTGGAATTGCTACACTTGGTGAGTCATCGACACTCCTCGAGGCTGGCTTCCTACGCTGCATTTTGACAGAGTATTCGATTTCGTTGCGGAGTGTTAGGGACGACTTCCTTAGCCTTACTCTCAGTGCTTCCGTTTCCTGGGATAAGTGCGGAATGTTATAGACTTTCCTCACTGAGTGTCGAGCGGCCTTGAGGGCTTTTCCTCTGTTCAGTGACCTTTCACGGGCTTGAAGGTCTTGGATCGTGAATTAATGGACGGGGTCGAGAAGAACCGTCTCTGTGAGCGGCTCAGATTGTCGTTGGACGATTTGCGCTCTTTCTGGTTTTGGACGCCAACGGCGAATTACCTCAGTAACCATGAGTTTTCGCTTAACTGTCGATTGATTAGAAAAATGCTATCTCTCAACGACATGGCTCTCAGATGGAGCTGGTTGTATTTGCACGTGTGTTACCGGTGTGACCTCAGTTTAGAAGAAATGGCTTCGCACGCCTTCTACCATTGTCCTCAGGTACGCCTTTTCTGAGACTAGGTCGGCGTATACACGCTTGGTATCCCAACATTAAACCGACATTGTGCTACAACCTGACCTCATTGGAGGTTAAATGCAAATTACTCTCACGGGCAGTTGTAACATTATTTTTCATCTCTCAGCTGCGTCTCTGTTTTGGGGCAGAGTGTACTCAAAAGCGACTCTGTCAAAGGACCGAGTCACATCTGCGGGAAATTTTACTGAGAGGTGCCCAGCTCTGGGGAAATGCTGCCCAGAGAGAGGGATCGATGCTCTGCCCGAAGTCAGCGCAACCGACGTTTGCGGGTACTCGGGCAATTATTGTTCCTAGCCTTGGTGTATGCGCTCGAGCTCCGAACATTAAACCGACCTTGAGTCAAAACATGACCTCGTGGGGGGGGGCGTAAATACACGATTGTTTGTCATCTCTTAATCTATTCTCTGTCTTTGGGCGGAGGGCAGTCAGAGGCGGCTCCGTAGAGGGACGGAATCACAAAAAGGGGGTTGTACTGGGATGTGCCCGACCATGGTGAGCTGCTAATAGAGATTGGGTCCTCTTATTGCAACAGAGAGAAGGATCGGGCTCTCACAAAGGCCACCGCAACCGACGGTTGCTGAGGCTCGGGGACAATTTGTATCTCGCCCGGGTTTACGCGCTCGGGTCCCCATATTAAACTGAACTTGTGTCACAATGTGACTTCGTGGGCGTCGAGTAAATACCAAATTACTATAAAGTAGTTAGTAACACGTTCATTTATCATATCAGAGTTGTGTCTCTATATTTGGGCAGAGCGCGCTCAGGGGCGGCTCCGTCGAATTACATTGTCGCAACGGAGAAAAATTATACTGAGAGGTGCCCAGCACTGAGGAACAGCTGCCCGAGGCGGCAACCTCTTATTGTACTAAAGAGCTGGATAAGTGCTCGCCTCGAAGCAAGCGGAACCGTCGGTTGCGATGACTGGGGAATTTTTGTTTCTAACGCGCCCGGGTTCCCCATATTAAACCAACTTTGTGTCACAACGGAACTCCATGGTGATGGTGAGGGCGTTGGTTGAGTAAATACCAAATTATTATAAAGCAGAACTGGGGATTTTTAATCTCAGAATTCGTGGGAGAATTGAGCTCCAATTTCGCATTTATTCATATAGATTCCATAATATAGGCTTTATTAATTAGCTATTATGTTTCTCTAACTTTTTAAATGTTGAATATATAACTAATTCTAATTTCTGTTTTCTCTATTCTAATCTATAATATAAGGTGCACCGCAATTTTGGATACAAAAGAAAAGTAAGAGTTACTCCTTTGAACCATAAAAGCAACTATAATAGCAAGTATAATGTTTTAATATATATATATATATATATATATATATATATATATAACCTCGCATAATCTGGCTACTCGGAATCTGAGCCCAACACATATCGTTCCTTTCGCCTAATTTTCTAAGACTTTTGAATGAGGTCTGAAATTATTGAAATCGGACTAATATGAGCAGAGGGATTACTTGGACACACAAGAGCAAAAGCACACACAAACACTGTACTTTATGTATAAGATTTTTCCTAGTAAAATAAGCGAGGTATATATTACATTTTATACACTGATTTTTTCGCATTATTTCTGCACACTTGGTTCTTAGTTCGGCCCTCTTCAGGGGCCACTTTATTCAGTAAATATATTCAGCCAGTGAAGATAATTCTCATTGCCATGTCTATACTAAGTGATATATTACATTATGCTTTCTTCGTCTCTTTATTTTGCTTTTTCTGGTAAGCTTTTCTCTATTTCTGGCTATATGTCTTAACTAAAGTCCAAAATGTAAACTTAACATAGCATATAGCTTCAAATTAATTGCCATCTTTTGTACTTTTAGAAAAATGAATCAAAATATATCCTTTCTTAATCCGAATTAACCAAGTTATAACATCGATAAAGATATCTATATATTATGAAAAAAATTCCCATATCTCCACAGGAGTAGAAATTCTTTATGCGAATAATCCTTATATCACAAGCATTTAAAACGGATTTAAATGATTTATTTAAGAGTCAGTGATATTTTCTTTACAATTTCAGGTATATGAGCTTTCTATCTCATGAGTTATGTATTTTTTCTTTTTTGAAATTCAACTACAATTGCTTGCTATGGATTACGTAATGAGTAGCGACTCGGAATCAGAAAACGAAGAATTCCAATCAAGAATTTCTATATTCGCTTACATGCAATTAAACTTCGAAATAGTTATGTATCCATCGCCTCTCCCCAGATATGGGTTAAATGGTAGTACTCATTACTAAAATAATTACTCCCAAAATGTTCTGGCTTTAAATGACCAACAAATTTTGATAAGGCGTAAACAAGTAATTCATTCAATCAGTAAATTGTATATTCTTATAGTGAAAGTAAGATGTAATACAATTATTACAAAAAATTACCATATCTGAATGTTTCGTTATTCATACTGCAAAATAAACAGAGTGAATGGGCCTAGAGACTGACATTTCATTGAATTTAGTGTGAAAATAAAGTTACCTGTGATAACTCAGTACACTGATCTGAGGATTATAGAGTCTCAGCTTCATTACGCTAAGATCAGAGCATCATCACGTGAAGAGTTGCTGTTGTGTTTCTTTAGACGGTGGCGCTGCGCGTAGATCCGGTTTTGAATTCAAAATTGTCCTTCTAGATCGATGTTCAATCGAAACGAATGAGCCCTTTCTATTCTGCTTTAATCTATATTTACGTCTGGGAGAACAGATTGATTTCTTTATTCCTTACGGCTATTCGCGGGAAAGCAAACAAAAATAGCTCGGTTAAATTCGAACTTTTTACCCTACTCCAAATGTCCCCCTTGACAACCGCTATGATACGCTAATTTTCACTTCCAAGTGATCGGCGGAAACTTCGTCTTTTAAGAGAAAAGATCGTTAAATATAACTCTTATATCCGAGCATACGATAATGGAAACATAAAGGAAACTTACACTTAGCATCAGAAAGAGGTATTTAAACTTACTAAGACAATTAACCAGGAACGAAGGCGTAGAATATTTGACACACAGGACATATTGAAGGCAAAATAGTTGTCAGAAAACGGCCCATAACCTATATAATGAACTTGTCTAAATGGTAAGTAGAACAGGTTTATTAAGCCATTCGATTTTTTTACGGCTTATGAAACATTTGAAGGTTAATTAAACCCAGAAAATTCAATAAGATTGTAAGAATTTTCTTTTAGATAATAATAGTTTGGTGATATATGTTTTACTAATTAACCCATAGCTGGTATGAGAAGAGACGGTTTCTTACCGTTCTCAAATGTATTTACGTGTAAGTGAATATAAGAGAAACAATGAGAATTAGAACTAGGCTCTCCACTTATAAATTTCAAGCTGTTAACCATTAAACCACCTGCACATCCAAGCTCAAAGAATCTGGTATTACTAGAGGTCACCCAGTTACTGACAATGCTTAGACTTCTAGAACCGAGTGTTTCAAGTCTGGCATAACAGAGATTAGGAGAGATACGTATAAACTTTACTAAGAGCTACAGAGGACATAAAATTGTGGAGAGCTTTGATGTAAACCTTAAAAAGTGACACGGCATAAAGAAAAAGATATGTACCAAAGTATCAGTGAAGATATATATATATATATATATATATATATATATATATATATATATATATATATATATTATTCATGCATGAAGAAAACTAACTTTTAATTTCAAGGAACAGGATAAAATACTGACATGTACATAGGTTCCCTTTTGTTAATACATATTATATTACATAACAAATAAACGGACGTGAATTCTTATCAGGGTTCATATCAGTTTCTGCGTTTGATTAAAATATGTATCTGAGTGTATGTACGTCAATATATATTAGCGAATTGAGATAAAGATAGGTGAATGTTCGTTTAGCAAGTAGCAACCCATTCAGGAAGCATCAAAGAATTGGTGAAAATTCAATTTCAGCCTGTTCACCGAATGGAAATTCTTCAAAAGGATGCCAAGAGAATTACAAATTAGTTTGTTTGAAAGGAACACAAATCATTAGTTGACGAGATAAAGTGAGTGAAAAAGAAGAAGAAGGTTCCTATGTGAATTAATAAAAAGTAAAAAATCGATAAGAAAGAAAGAAAGAAATTTAGTGGATATAGATAGTAACAGCAGATAAGAAAGTTTAAGATCACGAGGATGTTAACAATGAAGGAATAGGGGGAAGAGGAGAAGGAGGAAGTCCTTGTTTGAATAAATAAAATATGGACAGTATGAGTAAGGAGAATTAAAAGGAAAAAGAAAGACAAAGCAAAACAAAAAAAAGAAAGGGTGATAAAAAGAAAGAAAGAAAGACAAAAAAGAGCGAGTGAATGAATGCTAGTGGAAAAAAAAGATAGCAACGCACAAAGACAAGGACAGATATTAAGGAAAGTATAAAAAAGAAAGAAGAAAAAATGAAGAACGAAGAAGTGAACGATATTCTCGAGTGAAGAAATAGAATATAAATCCAGTAAGGAGAAGAAAGAAATCAACAAAGAAAGACAAAAGAAAGAATGAATGGTAAAAAGAAAGAAAGCAATAATAAAGAAAGCTTCTAAATATAGAGAGAAACGCAAGAAAAGAATGGATAATAATATGAGACTGTTACAAATGAAGGAAAATGAAAAACGGAGGAGGATAAGGATTTTTGGGAAGAAATAATATAGGAACACAAAGAAAAGAAGAAAAAAAGAAAGAAAGAATTAAAGCGAGAAAGAAGACGAAGATAAGGGAATATCAAATGGAAAAAGAAACATGTTGTTTGGTTGGATATATAAAAAGAGTAGAAAAGGAACGGATAAGAGAAAAGAAAGGTATGTCTTGTCAAATTTAACTGCTGCAAAACTACACTCCTCTTCATTAATCATTTGAAGATACCCTCTCTGCCTTAGAATGGCTGATACTAACCTTCAGAAAAGTAAATCTTTACTCCTTTTAAGGCTAATCTTCTCAGTTGACATGAAATGGAAAGGCTATATTGAATCATTTGTTAGGTCAGTTGCGAAAGAAATCGGTTGACTGTATCGTGTGAGACAATATTTCTCTCCAGAATATATCTTGCTTATCTATAAGTCTACCATTCGTCCATGCTTAATATATATATATATATATATATATATATATATATATATATATATATATATATATATATATATATATATATGGTTCAATTACCCCTGCTGTTTACCTAGAGCTCCGTCAAAATATCGACAGAAGAATCTGCAAAGTTATTGTTCCTAATCTGGCGGCTCGGATTCAGTCCCTTTCACACCGCCGTAAGATTTCCTCTCTTTGCTATTTTAATACGTTCGTGGTAATTTTTCGGGTGAGCTCTTCACTATGGTACCTAGAGAGTGTGATTTTAATCGCAATACTAGACTGGCAGCAAGATCTCATCAATTTACAGTTAATTTATCTAAAAGTAGTCGTAACTTCTATGGTAACTTTCTTTTCTTTACTTTCTTCTGCTTCCTTGCTTTCCAGCCAAATTTAATCTGAAAAAATTAACTGCAATGTCAATCGCTAGCTAATGTCCTCCTGAATACTCTTTTTTCTTTCTGCTCATTACTAATGTTTATGTTCCTAATTCCTCCACACACTGCAATCGCTTGCGATTTAAGAGCTGTACTGAGTTGTTCGGGGTGATAACGATTAAAAATCAGTAAGAGAAACGATTGGGAATTTAAAACGAATCGCAAAAAATTCAACGAAGAAAATTCCCGTTAATAGAGAAAAAATAATAGAGAACGGAAAAATCAGAAAAGGTTATTTTAAAGGAAAATATAAAACGCGACGCTTATTCGTCACATGAAGCTATTTTCATTTCAACAAAACCATAGTACAAACAGATAAAATGGTATGTGCCATTTATGTCGATGGTGCCATATTTGGGCATATTCAATATGTTAAATTAGGTCCGGCAATGGAACATTGATCTGGAATAGCATGGATACGGATAGAAGAATCGTTAGGATTTTGGACTAAAATTAAGAAAACGACCCATTTCTGGAATTTGGCGATCACGGAAGATGAAATATGTATTATTTACAACAATATGGAGCGAAAAAACTCCGCAGTAAACGAAGGATTGGCTGGAATGTCCTAGTACATACGGTTATCGTTAACCACTCTCAAAACGGTCTGTGTCAAGGTTAACCCATTTAGTGAATGGGATTAGAAGGTGTTTTTGCATTACCATTCCTTTCACAAAATTGTTCCCAATTAGACCAATAAAATGCAATAATTGATGGTAATTTTAATCCCTAATGCCCCCATCATAAATGTGCCTTCTTTCATTAGTACAACACCAGACCTCATATATCTTCGCATGCTGATCAGAAATTGGTAAGGCTTTGCTGGGATGTCCTACTACATACGGCGTACCCACCTAATCTTGCAATTTCAGAGTGAAACTTATTTCGAAGCCTAAAATTTCGTTCATGTACTCATGAAGCATTTTCAATACGCCGAACAGAATGACACCTTTCTTGAAGAAAACCTTGTACAAATATTAAATAGTGTCTTGGAAATTTACAGTACATCAGCACTAACATTTTTTCTGACTCGATATATAAGACAATTTGGGGGCACCTCGAGACGGTGAAATGGTTAGCAAGCTTGTCTCGTTAGAGCAATTACGACTGAGTAGCGAGATCGATCCTCACTGGTTGCCCCCTACTTTCGGCCTTGTGTCACATCTAAGTTATGCTTAGAAAAAAAAGGGGCACCTCGAGGCGGTGTAATAGTTAGTAAGCTTGTCTCGCTAGAACAATTACGACTGAGTAGTGAGTTCGAACCTCACTGGGTGCCTCCTACTTTCGGCCTTGTGCCACATCTAAGCTACGCTCAGAAAATCACCATTGGACACCTCGAGGCGGTGTAATGGTTAGTAAGCTTGTCTCACTAGAACAATTACGACTGAGTAGTGAGTTCGATCCTCACTGGGTGCCCCCTACTTTCGGTCTTGTGCTACATCTAAGCTACGTTTGGAAAATCACTATAAGATTATTTGGAAGTTGTTTTTTTTGTTTTTTTTACTATGATATATTTCACTTGATGAGACGACGAAGCGAGAATAAAACAGTTTTATTTTATATGAACAAGATTTTCGCCAGCGTGACTAAACTGGAATAACCTTGAGCATCTCGACGCTTTTTATTTCATCTTACCTCCATCCTTACATAAATTAGCTAATCTAAATTCAGATATATTTATTTTGTTAATTCTAATTTTATGTTTTCCGTTCACTTAAAGACATGGCAACTCTTCTTCAGATGAAAAACAACAATCAGAACAATTGCGAGAGCATTCTGCAAAACGATATTTCACATCTTATAAAAAGGAAGAAAGTGATTCAATTTGAGAAGAGCTTCGCGTAGATGGTTTCGTTTCATCAGACAATATTAGAAAATTCAACTGCTGGCGAGTAGTCTATGTAAATGAGTCTTAATATCAAGAGAAGGAGAGGTTGAGGCTGCCTTTCTTATCGCGTCAGTTTGATGCATCGCTCGAAGCAACGTAGTGCGCCAATGCAATTATCCATCAACGCTGTACATAAATATTAAAGCTGATTCAGAAATCTAGTGGACGGTTGAACGACGGACAAGATGACAAGACTGGAATCACAGAGATTGAAGTTGCCAGAGTTGAGACGTACTCATTCCTTTGGTAACATATCAAAACAGAAAGAAAATGACCACAGTTAGTTTGTATTTACTATATCGAGAAATCGGTAAATCAGCAAATTTGATCCAAGAAATATTTTCATTTATTTTTTGAATTTTTATTCCGAATGAACCTTTGCTGAGAATCGAGTGGGTGGAATTTGTTCTTTTGCCCAAAACTCTTTTCGGAACTCTAAATGACATAATTCCTCCAAATTTTTATCCGGAATTTGGGATATGTTAATTTCACTTAAATATTTCTGGTGCAATGTCTTAGCCAATTTCTTTCGACTATTTCGTTTATTGTAGAGTCGTAATATTTTTTGCATAGTATTAGCTATTTACCTATTCTAATATACAGTAGCCTAAGAAAAGTTTCTTAGCCAAGAGAATTAAACAACATGCAATTTCAAAATTTAATTACGTAATCCCTATTTAACATAAACAAACTTTATTTGGAACTAGTATAGAGTAGGTCCTCCATTTGCTAGTTTCAGTGCTTGGATTCGATTTGTCATGGATTTGATCAAGTTATCAACAATATTCTGAGCCATATTTTGTCACTCCTTCAGCAATGGTGCTTTAAGGGTTTCCACTGACGTGATTTTGGTTGCACGCTCTCGAAGTCTTCAGTCAAGTTGCTCCCAAACGTGCTGTATTGGATTCATGTAAGGGTTTTGGGCTACCCATGGCAGTGACTTGATTCCTTCCGATTCCTTCCAGGCCTTTTTTACTTTCTTCATATGACATGGCGCACCATCTTCTTGAAAATGTTAGACATTCTTGTCAATCTGATTGGTATCAAATAGTGGGATTAGTCCTTTCTATAATATTTGACAGTATTTTGAACTATTCAACCTCACGTCAACATGAATCAATTCGGATTTCCCTCCAAACCAGCCAGGCCCCACACCATTAGTCTAATTTATCCATGTTTGACGGTCGCCTGCAGACATTCAGTGCTCTAAGTCTCAATCTCATTTCTCCAAACCTGTCTTGAATTCTAATATTGGCAAAATTTAATTTCTTCTGACAAAATTACAGACTGCCAAAATTTATAATTCTTTCGACAGTCCATATGAAGGTTCCTGTTAATCTCTGAAATGATGGGATTCTTTCTTGCAACTCTTCTTTGATAGCCTAGCTCTTTCAGAGTCTTTCTCACCGCATATGGTGACATTTCCATGCTGTTGCCGACATCTTTGACTCTCTGATGACGGCTTCTGATGACTTCCCTATCCAATGCCCTTTTCTTTCGCTCCGACACGATACTTTGTATTCCTGAGAGTTGTTCCACACGACAATGGCCTTCTTCATTAAATTTTTTGACAATATTATCAACCGTTTAATGATTAACCTGGAAAAACCTAGCCATTTCTCTATTTGACTTGTCACAATGATGCCATCATATTATTTGCCCTTGTTAAATTTACTAATTTCCTTACTTCCACGAAGTTTCATTGCAAGATATAAGTCAACTATTGTTCATAGATAACAGTAGCTTGATACTAATACGGTACTATCTGAAAAAAAAAGAAGATACGTTATTACACAAGCCAAAATTTCTGTAATCAAGGGTGGACAAACACTTATAATAGCCTACTGTATACTTCCAATACACTAATAGTATATTTGTCGGTTCTTTCTACATATGCTCTGTTTTATAAGAACCGTTATACAATGTTTTTTTGGTTTTTTTTTAATTGAGACGGACAAAACATGACTTGTTAATACGAAAATAGGTTGAAAAGTTCATAGACTGACTACAAAGTTGTAAATGCTACTTTGGTTTATGCGTTGAAGTTATCAAATGTAATTGCGTGTTCTAAAGAATTTCCTTTGTATAAGAATGTTCAGGATTCTATGTTGAATACAGTTGAATAAGAAGTGTGTTGTTTTGAGAAATTAAGAGAGAGCTGGTTCGCGAACTTGGCTTAGACACAGAGAAGAAGAATACGTGTAATGTGATACACAAATCTGTGTCTGTGTGTGTGTTGTGAGTAAAGTCGTGTATTTGTTTAGACAGGCGTAAATAGCTGGATTCTACTGACGACTTGCGAGAAAGTCGGTAAGGGTTGTTGGAAAAGTTATTTGAGCTCTTGAAGATTACATCTTGGCAGCAAGGAAAAAGATGAATCAAGAGAACACAAGAGAGGCTTATTCGTGTTTTGTTTATATAAGGTTGTGTCTCATGTGACAGGCTCCAAGGCTTATGCACGGGAAAACTATTCCTCGCGTGCAGGCGATTTGATTGGTCGGAATTAACCAATTAGCAAGCTAATTTTGAGGAGATTAACCAATGAATGCTTGCCGTATGATTTGTATATGTTTGTGTGATGTCAGTGATGATCGCTACAAAGTATTGAAGTTGGAGCTGTGAAATCGTACATTTCAACCTTTTCTGTTCTTATTGATAAATACGCTGTTTCTTTTCAGGTAACTGACTCAAGATCAGCACGGTAACCATTTTGAACCCTTTATCACCAGTACAGACGTTTATAAAACGTAACTTGAATAAGATAGACATACTGTCGAAATATTTTTGAACATTTTCAAACACCGTGTCTTTTCTCTTTCTGTTTTCTTAAATTCTCTAAATGTTGAAATCTTTTGAAAGATTCACACTTCTTCTTCTTCTTCTTCTTCTTCTTCTTCTTATTATTATTATTATTATTATTATTATTTCTGTTGCTGTTGTTCTGTACTATTTATTGGATATTGTCAGCGGAATCTGCAATTATTGGATATCAAACAAAATCGGGCAACCTTATATATTACTGACTTTTTATGCTGTGCTAAGCAAACAGACTTTCTGCAACATATAAAAATTCACTGTTAAATCTAATGTTTTCAATCAAAGGGCAAAATTCTCTAACAGTTTTTGTCTCTTCTTCCGTTTCACGAGTTCCATTGCTCCCAAGTGTCTATAACAGAATCAAACAAGTAAAACGATTTAAATATCTGGGAAGTATTTTAAGAGATCAGGGAATGTGCGAGACAGAAAGATGTCTGCCAAATCTATGCTAAGTATTAAGAAACAAAAAAATCTTTTGTTAGAAATAGAGAAAAGAATACTTAAATGTTATGTAATACCACTCATCCTCCTATATGGCAGCGAATGTTGCAGAGGCCCTTCACAGTCGAACAGGAGTTTTAGAGAAAATGAAAACAAAATAGAATTTATACTTAACATTAACTTAAGATCTTGGAAATAATGATATTAACAAGAAATATGAAAAGCAAGATGGACGAATGAACGCAACGCAACACCTATCGAGCTTTGGTAATTGGGTGGCGTAACAAGGTTTAGAAGAGAAAGCAAAAAGATAAAATTTGTTAAGAGCCTCAAAAGACAGGAAGTTGTGGAGGACCATGACCACCAGCTTTGTAATTACCATGATTCTTCATTTATTCAGGAATCGCTTAACAAAATATTTTCTAACTTTAGGTTTTAATGCAATAGATTTATGGAACCTCTCCATGGTTTTATTTTCGCTTAAAATCATTCTACAATGTGCGATGGATAAATTGCCGTCTAAAATACTCAAAAATGAAAATCTCGTTTCAACCGATATATTTAACAAAATTACAAAACGATACCTTGAAATGCTAAACAGTATATTTACTCAATATAATCGCCACTGGCTTCAACTACGGCCTTCACACGACTTGGAAATTTCGTGGAACACTTTTGGACAGTCTCCTTGTTTCAGTTGGTAGATACTCCCATAATCCTTACCTTAAGTTCATCTTTGATGTTAGAAGGAGGTTTGTTGGTCTCTCGCTTAATTTCGCCCCAAAAATAATAATGAAGAGGTTTACATTATGGGGTTATAATCTGGGAAGTTAGGTGGCCAGAAGTTAGGTGGTAATATGGTCGAAGAATTTGTCTAAGAACCATGACTGGGTTCTCATGCTTGTTTGGCATGATGCAGATTCCTGTTGAAAATGACAAGGTCTTCCAGCAGCCGCCATCTTGAGCCAGGGCAGCACTACCTCATTAAGGCACTTGATATATGCCTCCTAGTTGAGTCTGAGGCCCGGTGTGAAGATGAATGAAGGCATAACATCGCCATGACGAGTTATCACTCCAAATACCTGCACAATCACTATTAGACTCATCCAACTCTTTCCGAATCCCCTGCACTGTTCTCAAAGTCACACTCAAGCATTTGAAATGCATTTATAGTAGCTTCCGGTGGGAATGTCAAGTAGTACAGCATGCCGTTTTCAAATTCCTAGCGGTGTGAATTGCGTCATGGTGCTTTTTTTTCACAGACGGTGCGCAACTTACCCTTTCTATACTGTGCAATAGACGCTATAAAAATAAAACAATGCGCATGCGCGAATTTAAAAGTATAAAATAGCAATATTTTAACTTTCATGACTGGTAGATTATAAATACTTATTTATATCCTTCTTCTTTCTCTCAAATGATTTTGGCATTTATTTAATGTTCATAGAAAGATTTCCTGGATTTTGATTTGTGTTTTTTAAATTATGAAACGGTCACATCTGTCCGTTAGGGACGACTGGCCAAAACGGACGCCTTCTCAATCAACAGACCCAACCTGTGTTTTGATTCCTGAGCAGACTATACTTGCACTTTCTAAGATAATGTATATTATCAAGAGTTTTAAACATAACCGGTGCGTTCAAACCCTTGGTCACGATCACTTGTTACTTCACATTGGCTAAACCATCAACAGATACCGAACTGTACCATAGAA